ACCACGGACCGCGCCTGCGGTTGCTGCTGCGCACCTGGATCTCCCGGGCTCGCCGGCAGGTGTGCTCGCTCCCGGACCCCGCCCCGGGACCCCGAACCCCACGGCCTCGACGCTCCCGCTCGCAAAGCCGAGGCCGACCCTGCGCGGCCCTTCGGGTGGGGGCAGCGGGGACCGCCTCCCGAGGGTCGCACCGACGCCCGGCGAGCTCGGAACGGCTCACCTGGGCTGGGCCCTAAGGCCCTGGGTAGCCCCCTGGCGCCTCACGGGGTGTTTCTCCCCCAGACGTTCATCTTCACCGACGGGGACGACCCTGAGCTCGAGTTCCAGGGCGGTGAGTGTCTCCCCAGTCCTTCTGCCAGCGAGACTGAGGTCTCTATGGGCGGGAGAGCTTACCCTCCGAGCCCCAGAGAGAGGCACGCCAGGCCGCGAGTGCTTTACACTCTTTCCTTGTCTGGGTGCCACACATCCTGTGTCATGAGAGCTATTGTCACTCTCTGTGCATGGGAGTGCCAGGGAGGTTAAGGAATTTTGCCCAGGGTCACACAGCCAGGACGCCCACCCACTGGCTAGCTCAGGGCCTGGGCCCTACCCTGCCAATCAAGCTCTGCATTCCCTCTTCCCCTGGCTACTGGCAGACTTCCAAGAGCCTCTGGCCAGTGCCACGTCCCCTGAAGAAACCCCATCAGAGAATTATTCCTCCCAGGTCTGGCCCGGGAGTCCTATCTCTGTCCCGTTTCCACTCAAGCAATCCCCAGTGATTTGTCATCTACTGTAGCCTCAGAAATCACCAACAGGGTCAGTTGAGTGAGGGCTGACCTGGGGTTGTGATTGGACCTAGGCAAGGTGGCCCGGTCCACTGGACAACCACATTGTGCCAGCATTGTGCCAGCACTCTGCCAGTCTCAATCCTCATGCATCTCTGGTTCTGAAACTTGGCAGGTGGCCGTGTTGTCAATACCAACTGCTCAGCTGTGCGCACCCGCCAGGCACTCTGCTGCAAGATGTCTGTGGAGTATGATAAGTTCATCGAGTCTGGGCGCAAGTATGTAGTGGTCATGCCCTGTCTCCCTTGGAGAGCCTGGGGCTGAGCTGAGGTGGGGCCTCCAGTCCTGCCGTGCCAGGCCCTTGTGCACAGGACATCCCATTCTCCTGACCGCAGGTGGTTCTGCCATGTAGACGATGACAATTACGTGAACTCCGAAAGTCTCCTGCACCTGCTGTCCACCTTCTCACCCAGCCAGGATGTCTACCTGGGGCGGCCCAGTCTGGACCACCCCATCGAGGCCACAGAAAGGGTCCAGGGAGGCAGAACCGTAAGTGCCGGGGTTAGACCTCTTCCCTGACACCAGGCCACGGAGGCGCAGCCAAGAGTATGGAAGGATGTTCAGCTGGGGGCATGAGCTGACCCACCCAGGTGGCCTGGATATCGTGTTTCAGGAGCAGGCGGGACAGGATGTGCTCTGGGCCAGGCGAGGAAGAGTCTGGAGGCCACAGGCTCCCTGTGCTCTGGGAAACTTCTGTAACCCTGGAAGGAGCTCCTAAGGGGCAACTCAGGGGAGACATGTGGGGAGTCAAGAGAAGAGTCAGAATGAGGAGCCCCATCCTGAGCAGCCTTGACTGGTCCCCCACCCCCAGGTGACCACAGTCAAGTTCTGGTTTGCTACTGGTGGGGCTGGGTTCTGCCTCAGCAGAGGCCTCGCCCTCAAGATGAGCCCATGGGCCAGGTGAGTGGAGGCGTGACTGCCCCCGGGGTGGAGGGTGGGACCGAAGACTGAAGGAGTGCTGATGGGCCTCCCCCTGCAGCCTGGGCAGCTTCATGAGCACAGCCGAGCGGGTGCGGCTGCCAGATGACTGCACGGTGGGCTACATCGTGGAGGGGCTGTTGGGTGCCCGCCTGCTGCACAGCCCTCTCTTCCACTCCCACCTGGAGAACCTGCAGAGGCTGCCGGCTGATGCTGTGCTCCAACAGGTATGGGCTTCAGCAGTTACAGGGCAGCTGCCTGGGGCCTCCGCAGGGGTTTCTGCCATGTGGGCCTTGCCCCACTACCACCAGGGCCAGCCTTCCCTGAGCAGGGGGTTGGGATTTACATGTGGCTATGGGTGGGCCTTGGACAGATAGACCCCTTTGTCTACTGGACATGGGGTCCTCAGGTGTGGGTGGCGGATGCGGGGTCCTGGGTGCAGGCGCTAGATGTGGGATCCTCAGCTGCAGGTACCGGCATCAAGTCTCAGTGGGAGTGGGGACAGGTAAAGGGCAGTTCCGGAATTCTCCCAGGGCAGAGGGGCCCAGGGACAGCTGGGCAGTGGTAGTGGCCTGGACAGTGATGGGAGATTCAGACCAGGTCCCCATTACTCGGAGCAGAGAGGGAATGATAACCAGCTTTAGATAAGAAGTCTAGGATCCCTCACTCCTCCACAGACCCCTTCTGAGGTATCTTCAGTGCTGCTCTTCTTCTCAGCTCGTGTCATCTTTCAGTGTTGTTCCCTAAACCTGGCCTGGAGGACATGGGGAGGGGTGGGTGGGCCCGGGTCCCTCTAGCAGGAGCTCCTGGCCAGGAGAGGACATAAAGACAGTTGCCCTGAGACCAGAACTGCCCTCACACTTTGCCTCCCATCCTCTCCCAGGTCACCTTGAGCTACGGGGGTCCCGAGAACCCACATAACGTGGTAAACGTGGCCAGAGGCTTCAGCCTACAGCAGGACCCCACTCGGTGTGTGGGCAGTGGTGGGGGTGTGCTTTCGGCCCCCGGGGGCTCTGGTGCCAGTCCCTTGCCTGCACCCTGACCCCACTTCCTTCCTTCCCAGGTTTAAGTCTGTCCACTGCCTTCTCTACCCAGACACAGACTGGTGTCCCAGACAGGAGCAGGGTGACCCCGCCTCTTGATGACCAGCAACCCCTGACCCAAGGCTGACTCTGGTTCTGCCCCAGGTGCAGGGAGCAGGAGCAGTGTTCCCCCTGTCTGGCCCCAGTTGGCTCCTTCAAGTGCTATGGCCAAATGCAGTGAGATGTGGGCGCCAGGCAGACTCCACTGGCCTGCAGACACCCCCTACAATCCCTTGGCAGCCTGAGGTGACTAAGCGCTTTGGGAGAGCGAGGACTGCCAGATTCTGAGTGCCAGGGGCCATCTTAGGAGCCATAGTGCCCTCCTCTTGGCCCAACACAGCAGATCAATCACATGGAGGAAGTTTACCCAAGCACCTGGATTCATAGAGTGCTAGCATCCAGGTTCACGGGGCTCCATTGCACTCTTCTGGGGCTCCAAGCAAAGGTCCTGCCTGTTCTTTCAGGCCCAGGCACAAACCATTGCAAGGGTTTTGCCTGGCAGGGCTCATGGGGGGATGCCACCCTCTCTGTCGCACACGTGGTGCACAGCCAGGCATGGAGCTCAGAACTCAGGCCTCAAGAGGCCATGCTCATGGCCAGAGCTGCACTCCCAGCCCAGGTGCCCCATCTGGAGGCCTCCCGATTGAGGCCTTGGAGATGCTTTCTGCTCTGACTCAGTGTTTAGAACTTCTCTGCTCTGGGCAACCCCCACTGGGCCTCCCATTTGTAAAACAGTAGGAGCCTTTCATTTGGGGCTCCTCAGGAGTGCCACCACCTCCACCTACTGGTCCCAGCAGACCCACTGCCCTTGACTGGTGCCTTTGTGGGGGAAAATCAGACAAGGAGGGGCGTCACCTTCCCTCTGCCTCCGCTTTGCTATCGCCCTGAGCTAGTAAAGGCTTCATTCTTATTCCCCTGGCTCCTGTCTTGATCGACTCCGGCAGCTCGGCTCTGCACTGGTCCACAGCTGTCCCCCTTCCCCCCTGGAAAGGCCCCGTCTCAGGCAGACCTGTATTCTTTGCCATTCTGCCCACCAAGCCTCAGACCCACTAAACTCTTCTTTGTGAGCCAGAGCACACAGCAAGGATGGCAGGTGGGGATCCTGTCCGGAGGGACAGAAACTGGACAGATATTGTCCTGAGAGGTCTACTTCCCGTGCGTTGTGCTTACATTCTCAGCGTGTTGTGGAACTAGTGCATGTGCACGTGGATAAGGCTATGTGCATGCACGTCTAAGAGTGTATGCGTGGCTGCTGAATACGTGGGCATGGACGTGTGTGGGCATGCATGTGTATGTATGGTTGTGTGCATGTCTAGGCAACTGTGTATGTGTGTGTATATGGACGTATGCATGTCTACATGGCTGTGTGTGTGTGCTTAGTTGTACATGTGTCCTTGCAACTGTGTGTACAGTTGTATACTATGTAACTGCATGGAAGTATGGTTGTACGTGTATCTGTGTAGCTGTGTGTACATGCATGGTTGTATGCGTGTATACACCGATGTGTGTGAACATGGTTGCATGTGTGTTTACATGTCTGGTATGTATCTGCATGGTCATATAAATGTACTGAGGGTGGATGTGCATGTATGTAGGTGGGTATGTACCCAAGTGCATGTCTATATGTGTGTGTGGACATGTGAATGTGGAGGGCGGGGGAAGTAGTACCTACGTAACCATATTGTTTTCCATCTAGTTTATTGCTGCATGGCCAGGAGTAAATTGCAAGCTGGGTGTAGTGGCTCATGCCTGTCATCCCAGCACTTTGGGAGGCAGAGGCAAGAGGATTGCCTGAGCCCAGGGGTTTGAGACCAGCCTGGGCAACTTGGCAAGACCTCATCTCTGTAATAAATAAAAAAATTAGCCGGGCATGGGGGTGCTTACCTGTGGTCTCAACTACTTGGAAGACTGAGGTAGAAGGATTGCCTGAGCCCAGCAGGTCGAGGCTGCGGTGGCCATGAGCATGCCACTGCACTTGCCTGAGTGACAGAGTGAGACTGTGACCCAAAAAAATAAACAAATAAAAAATGCACCCAACAACACTAGAGTCAAGCATCACCGGGTCTTTGAGGCCTGGGGCTGTCATTGGTCCCTGGCTTTGGACACTATAGGCCCTGGGCTGGGAGAGGAATAATGGGGGCTCAGAGTAAGTGTGTTGGGGTGAATTTCAGCAGGTCTGAAACCTAAGTCTCAACAAGAGATGAGAAAACTGAATTATTGAAAGTTGCTACAGGATCATTCCAGTAACTATCAGACCCGCTAGTGCAGGCATTGCCTGCATTGCCTCCAGCCCTCATGCTTGATTCTTGCTAGGCATGGGGTTTGGGGTTCTCCATCCTCTTCCCTGAACATTGTGTGATGGTTTCCCTCCCTCCTGAGCCCGCCGTGTGCTGCCCACCTAGAAACACATGTACTTGGATTGCAGTGATGTGGACATGGGCTCATCCAATCAACATATAGGGCACCTGGGGATAAACCCCTGTGAACGGGATGTTACTTAAGACACACGGTGGTTTTCTGGATCTTTAGGCCCAATGCTTTCCAAAGGTTTAGCTCAGCTGCACTCCTCTGAGGATATAACATGGCATCTTACTTCACCCTTGTCAATACTGGTCTCAGCTTAAAACACTGTGTTGCTCTGTGGTGAGTGGATTGCCTGAGCCCCTGGGTTCAAGACCCGCCTGGGCAGCAGGACCTCATCTCTACAATAAATCAAAAAATCAACCGGGCGTGGTAGCGCCTGCCTGTAGTTCCAGCTACTTGGAAGGCTGAGGCGGAAGGATCGCCAGAGCCCAGCAGGTCGAGGCTGCGGTGGCCGGGAGCGGCCACTGCACTCCAGTCTGGGTGACAGAGTGAGACTCCAACTCAAAAAAATAAAAATAAAAATAAAAGAAATGGTAACTCTAGTATTTAAGCTATTCTTTGAGGTTGAACTATGTCACCTCTGTGAGCTATTGCTTTATTTCTCTCCCTTTTTGGTCTAAATCAGGTCTGAGGCTTTTCTCCTAAGTGCCTAGCCATGCTGCTCTTGTTTCATATCGTTGGGCTGATTTTTGTTTTGTTTTGTTTTTGAGTCAGGGTCTCATTTTGTGGCTTAGGCTGGAGTGTAGTGGCATGATCAGGACTCACCACAACCATGACCTCCTGGGCTCAGGCAATTCAGCCTCCTGAATAGGTGTGACAACAGGGTGTGCCACCATGTTCTGTTAATTTTTTTATTTTTTGGAGAGACAAGGTCTTGCTGTGTTGTCTAGACTGGTCTCGAACGCCTGGGCTCAAGCAGTCCTCTTGCTTTGGCTTACAAAAGTGCTGGGATTACAGGCATGAGCCACTGCAGCCAGCATTAGGTTATGATTATAAACTTTTCAAACTGGTAATTTTACACTTTGATCCAAACGACCTTTTCCAGGCAAAGCCAGTCCTACAGCTCAGATATTCTGGAAGTGACTTTGGCCATCCCAGATCCAAGTCTCCCTTGGGTCCAAATGGCTAAGGGCTACAGAGTAACAACCCCATGGAAGCGGATGAAGAGAGAATTAAGGGGAGTCATACCCCAGAAGCAAATGGAGGTTGGAGATGGGCAGGGGCTCCAGGGAGCCGGCACTGGTGGGAAGAAGGCAACCAGGGACCCACAGGCAGGCATTGGTAGACCCCCCTACCAAGGCAGAGAGGTGGTAACAGGCACAGGTCACATGATGGTGGTTTGGCAAGTTATAAGGAAATGTTCATGTTCAGTGGACACCTCCCTTCAGCCCTAAGAGCCCTGAACAACACAATAAACCACGCAGATGTAACAGACATCTAGCAAACACTCTACAGCACAGCACACATTCTTCTCAAGTGCTTGTGGAACTTCTCCAGGAGAGACCATATGTTAGGCCACAAATCAAGTCCCAATATGTTTAAAAAGACACATTAGGACAGGTGCAGGGGTACTCACCTGTAGTCTCCTTCTACTTGAGAGGCTAAGGTGGGAGGATTGCTTGAACCCAGGAGTTTGAGACTAGCCTGGGTAACATAGTGAGACCTCATCTCTAAAAAAATGTTTTAAAAAAAGCAACAACAATATAGATACCATACAAAGTATCTTTTATGAACCCAGTGCAATGAAGTTGCAGATTAATAGCAGAAGGAAAGCTGGAAATATCACAACTTTGTGGTTATTTAACAACTCGCTCTTATTAAACAACCGGTTGGTCAAGAAAAAAGCATAAAATAAAATACCGAGAGGTGGCCAGGCTCAGTGGCTCAACCTGTAATCCCAGCACTTTGGGAGGCCAAGGGGAGTGAATGGCCTGAGCCTGCGGGTTTGAAACCAGCCTGGGCAACTTGGCGAGACCTCATCTCTACAATAAATAAATTTAAAAATAGCCGGGTGTGGTAGTACGCGCCGGTAGTTCCAGCTACTTGAAGGCTGAGGCAGAAGGATCGCCAGAGCCCAGCAGGTCGAAGCTGAGGTTGCTGTGAGTGTGCCACTGCACTCCAGCCTGGGCAACAGAGTGACTTAGCTGGGCTTGGTGGCTTAGCCTGTAATCTCGCGCCTTGGGAGGCTGAGGTGAGTGAATTGCCTGAGCCTGCGGGTTCGAGACTCGCCTGGGCAACTTGGTGAGATCTCATCTCTACAATAAATCAAAAAAATTAGCTGGGTGTGGTAGCGCATGCCCGTAATTCCAGCTCCTTGGAAGGCTGAGGCGGAAGGATCGCTGGAGCCCAGCAGGTCGAGGCTGCGGTGGCTGGGAGCGGCCACTGCACTCCAGTCTGGGTGACAGAGTGAGACTCCAACTCAAAACAAAAAAAAACCAAAAAACTTAGAGGCAAATAAAACAAAACCAGAACTTACCAAAATGTACAAGATGCAGTAAAAACAGTGCTGAGGAAGATATATTTATTACTACAAAACACATTAAAAAAGAATGAAGACTTCAAGTCTACAACCTAACTTAAGGAACTAGAAAAAGAACAGACTAAACCCAAAGCTAGCAGAAGGAAAGAAATGATGATTAGAGTAGAGATAAATAAAACAGAGAACAGAAAATATCAGAAATCAACAAAATCAAGTCAAAACTTGGTCCTTTGAAAAGTAACAAAATTAGCCGGGCTCGGTGGCTCAGCCTGTAATCCCAGCACTTTGAGAGACTGAGGTGAGTGGATTGCCTGAGCCCGCAGGTTCGTGACCCGCCTGGGCAACTTGGCAAGACCTCATCTCTACAATAAATCAGAAACTAGCCGGGCGTGGTCGCGCGTGCCTGTAGTTCCAGGTACTTGGAAGGCTGAGGCGGATCGCCGGAGCCCAGCAGGTCAAGGCTGCGGTAGCCGGGAGCGTGCCACCGCACTCCAGTCTGGGCGACAGGTTGAAACTCCACTTCAAAAAAATAATAATATTAATAATTAAAAAAGAGAAAAGTAACAAAATTGACAAGCTTTTAGTTAAAATTACTAAGAAAAAAAGATTCAAGTTAATAAGATGAAAATGAGGCTATTACTACTGAGTTTAGAGACATATAAGCACTTATAAGACGGTACTATGGACAGTTATACATCAACAAATTGAATAACCTACATGAATGGACAATGCCTAGAAAAACTTGCCAAGACTAAATCAGGAAGAAATAGAAAAATACAAATGAGCCTAAATCAGTAATCAAACACCTGACCTAAAAAAAGAAGTTTGAGACCGAATGGCTTCACTGGTGAAACTTTTATTTACTTTTTTTGAGTAAGTCTCAGTCTCACCCAGGCTGGAATGCAGTGGCATGCTCACAGCCACCACAGCCTTGATCTGCTGGGCTTAGGTGATCCTTTCACCCTAGCCTTCCGAGTATTTGGAACCACAGGTGCACACCACCATGCCTGGCTAATTTTTAAAAATTTATTGTAGAGACGAGGTATCACCAAGTTGCCCAGGCTGGTCTT